AAAGGAGAAAAATACTTCCTTGTGATATAACATTCAAAATTATTCATGATTTACGAATATGGCGTAATGTAAAAGTCAATAAATTTCTTGCTCAGAAGTTTCTGCTATCTTTCTTCCATAAATAATTTGCCAAAACGTGACAAATGTGAAAAATTGTTGCACCTTACCAGAATCGTTTAAGTTTCTTCTTGGCAGATTATGCAACGTAAGCCTTTTATGCAATACATTGTGGAATGGATTCAACTTTAACCTGCGCTAATGAGATACATTTTTTTTTCTCGCGTTGCTACGTTTTCTTGCGAGATGTTTTGATGTGCAATTTCGAGTTAAATAGAATATGCAGTCAAGAAAAAAAAAGCAAAGACAAAATAACCGAGACTGATACAATCTCATTAAATTTACGTGTTAATACAAAACATAAATTATATTTTTCCAAATTTGTCAAAAAATTGAATATCTTTTTTAAATCTTTATTTGTGGTAAATATAATTTTTTCAATTGTGTTGTTTCATATTTTGATTAATAATAAATCACTAAATATAATAACTAAATATAATTAATAATAAATTAATAAATTACGTAATATGCTTATTTTCTTTCGAAAGACATATAGCAATATTATTTCTCTTGTTTTTTCTTTCTTTTTTTTGAAGAATATAAATGCTCGGTTCTTACGTTAAAAATTGATTATTCTTCTCTTTTGTCACTTATACCAGCTGAAATGTATGAAATGGTTTGTAAAATGGATTATATCAATCAAGTAAAGGTTTTTGACATATAAATTCTTACAGTGAAGACTGTAATCTTCGAATGAAATCATTAACATATTTCGTAAATTTCTCGCGGAATATCTTGATATATTTAATATTTTTTCTAGTTTTTGGATAAGTGGACATCAATGCACTTTCTCTTTTTTAGGATTTCCGTATTTTATGAATGTGTAAAATTGAGGTTAATTTTCGGAATCGCGAGACGCATAAATTAATGTCAGCATATAAATTTAAGATACATACTATAATTATTTCAGAAAAGGTTAAAAGTCAAAAGAGAGGATTAACTTACTAGAGTATTAACCATGACGTTTATGCTACACTCAACTTTGTAATGTTTGCATATGCACAAGTGTCCTTCAATTCGTTCGATTTCGCTCATTAGCAGGAAAAGTTGCTTTATATTGCAATGTTTAAACTCTACGTCAAGATATTACATTCAAGTGATTTGTTTGCCAGGTGTAGAAAGCTTCTCTTCGAGAAGCTCTTTGAAAAGTATTATCTTCATTAATGTGAAGATTTCCTCTTTATATTAATATTTGTTTAATATCATCACATAGCACTTCTGTATGATTTTAAAGATAAAATTAATAAAATTATTCATGTAATTCTTATTTAGTGCCACTTAATAAATATGTACATGAATGTATAAAAGTATTTCTTCAAAGCCCCAAAAAATATTTATTTATATCAACATTTACATTATAAAAACAGCTCAGAATTCTCAGAGAAATTAATTTTAAGTCAAAATTAGAAAAGTTGATTTGCATTACCTTAAAAAAAATTAGAGATTATAATTATTACAATTCAATGATGAATTTGACTTTAAATATCTTAATAATTATACTTTAAATAAAAATTTTGATAAAATGTATAAAATTTATTTGTATTTATTTACAAAGAATAAGGTTTAATTATGTTTTTTAATTGCAAAAAATTTCTCATTTTTATATTTAAACACATTAATTGTTCTAAATAAAAAAATTAAATATAGTGTTATAGAACTTAATTTTTTATATAAAATATAAATATGTTACAAATTTTTTTAAATATAATATAATATTCTTTTTTACAACAAAATTTTAAACAAAATTTTGTATATGATATAAAACATTTAAGAAAGAATAACCAACGTATATGAGTGAAAGTAAGAGCTTAAAGTAATCTCCAGTATAAATTCAGTTGGGCGACGACGAGACCACACCTTGAAAATTGGCCCATTCGGACCAGTTTTTTTTAGGTCGCGCTTGTGTGTATTTCCATTACATATGCATGACATGAAAGTACTTAATAAGATAATGATTTTCAAAGAAGCCTTCAAACCGTGATCCCCTTGTATTTTAAAACTTCCTGTACCTGCCTTAATCAAAAATACTGAACGGTACAAATATTTTTTTATCATAACTAAACACACTATCAAAACTTTTTCTTTTCTTACCTTTTAAATAATATTGAGACATATTTCATAACGAAATGACCCGAGTCTTTAAATATATTTAAAAACAGAAATATTCTCTAAAAGCATTGATATAAAACCTATGTTATAACAATTTTAATAATTACATGATAAAAGTATAAAATACAAAATAATATAATATTATATTAGAATATTTATTTATACTTATGTACAGTGTACGTTTAATTATTCCTCAACATTACTCTTTACTAGTTTAAATACTAGCGTACTAATAGATACGTTCAAGTCAGTTATCTGTAGAAAAGAACGAAAAGGAAGCTATAAATTACATAGATCGTGCACAGAGTATATACAAACGAAGAATTAATAAAATTGAAATGAGTAACAACGATGCTGTTCTACGAGCTTTCGCAAGAGGCGATACGTTAAAAGATACGGAAGGCCGTTACGTACGAGCTGACAGGAATTAAATGGGTTAAATATAATGTTTATCGATGCAAATTCCACGGGGTGCGGGACAAGGACAATGCGCCCGGATGTAGACGACCCTCTTGATTCGATGGTGTGGAAGCAGTCCACCTTCGGGAAGCGGAGCCGAGCCTCTCACCTGTCCAAAGAACTTTTCCAATATTCCGCACGGTGTTACAAGCACCGATTTCATAATAGCGTCAGTCAGTCAGGCGATTCCGAAAATCCTGTCGATTTCTACGCGTCATAACTATATTAATTTGGCTTTCTTCCTCACTCGTCGGTTTTCATTACTTTCTTTTTATACAGACGCCATTTTACACGGACTATCCCGGAACTCTTCGCCGCCGCTCCTTCCTTTCCCTTATAAATTTCGACAAGAAGGAGAAAAGTTTCTTCTCAACGGGTCATTCAATCGCATTTGTCATTGTCAAAGATATTTACATTGGTCCACCTTTTTATCATTTTTAATTATTTAATGTAAAACATTTTTCAATTTTCGTCGTTTTGAAAAATGTCTGAATCGCAATAACTTTTCATCAAAAAATGTAGAAACGAGGCATTCTGAGAGTCTGTTTTGTCGCCATTGTTCTTCAAATGTTGCCTTTTGTAAACTTGGTACCTCGGTGCCCTTTGTAAGCTTGATAATCTCTGTATCTTTCTCTTACTCTTTACTTTTCATCTATATCCTTGAAATACACACGAATATGCTTTCGTTGTTGTCCAATTTTCTTCGTTTGATTACACGTAAATTCAAACAGTTAAATTTGCGACAGTTTGCTTGTAATACGTTGCATACCTTGCAGAATAACGTGGCGTGACGTTATACATCGACTTTTACTTTCAATATCGATAGTACGATTAAATGTAGACTTACTCAGTAATGGAACTAGAACGCATATTTATATATCATGAATCGCGTATGATCATGTTTTCTTAAAGGATCATATTCTTTCTTTTATTCATATAAATATGAGATATATTCAAATATTTTTTATGGTTTATGGTTTTTGGTGGATAATGAATAAGAAAAAAAATTTTTTTAAGATTTAATGACTATTAGTTACACAAAGAATCTTGTAGATCCGGAAGTCAGAATTATTGACAGTTTCTGTAATTTTTAATTTTAATTTTAATTTTTAATTAATTTTTTAACATGTGTATAGTAAATATAATATAATATATTTATTATTGTATTATATTTTATAATATTTAAGCTTTATATATATATACGCAATCTGTTATATTTTAAACTTCGAAGTATAATAAATTAAAATTTTAAATGCCTAATTCTTCAGTATGTTTATCTTTGAGTTCTATTACGCAACAATTTTAAATATTTATTTTTGCATATTTAACTTCTTATATCTATGATTTAGTTATATTATATTTATAAATCAATCGATCAATTTACAGATTCAAATTTTGAAATTTTGAAAGCATTTTTTAAATCTCTAAACTTCTATATTTTTGACTATTTAACCAAACCTCTATATCTTTAAATCTAAATCGTATCTTTGTATCTTTGAAAATTTCTGCATTTCCTATATATTTTAAATTAATGATTCATTAGATTCTAGTTTATAAAATGGATTCATAGTCTTTCCGATTGTCGATTAATTTAATACGAAATATTACAAGGATTGCTGTAGAACACGGAAAACTGAACAGATTAAAGCTTAAACGATACCGTTGTTTCATTTGCATCTTCTGGGTAAATTTCGAATATTGAAGACAAGTTTGTTGCAACTACGAGAAAGAGAAAAAATACCAAACGAGGAGTATACACGCTAGAGTTGTTTTCTTCTAAGCGTTGGCAGGTCAACGCAGTCACGAATGTTTTAATGTTGCTTATTAATGTTAACGGTGAAGGTATAATCTGTGAACGAATAAGGCCTACTTGCTGTAACAACTGGAAATGCGATTAATTGCGTTCGTCGGGCATTATTGTCAACGATGACCGGTCGATCGAGACTAGTCGAGACCAGTTATTACCATTTGCGTTGATCGCAGCCCCGGAGGATTCTCTTAATTGCATAATTGGTACCTCCTCGCGATTTCGTCAGATATAGCATCTTTGCAATCGGGCTGCCGCGTATCGCTAAAATTTTTTTTCTGTGATGACGAAGTCTGTTCTTGATTGACGCAATATATTTCGTCTTTTTTTTGTAACGCAGCGATCATAATCTCCTAAATGTACGTAATCAAGCAATTGTAACCGTCAATTATCGATTATCGATAATTGACGGTTATTATCGTCGTTATAATTGACGGTTATTATCGTCGTTATTATCGGTTGTTATCGATTATTATCGTTTATCGATCATCTAAATGAAATTTCTAAGATGCCCTCAAATGATTACTTTACTATCATCGTACTTTCTATCATCGGTATCCGTTTCTACAGTAATCCAATTTGAAAGTTCTTATGCCTTTCATTTTGCGTCTATCATTATCATCAATTATCTGAATGTTGTGACTAATGTGAGCAAACATTTTAATTAGCGACGATGATTTTACAGATATTAATCAAGTTAATTTTTTTAAGCGATTATTAAACATTTTCTATTACAATTATTGAAAATTTTATAAAATTTCTTTGCTTTTCCTTGTTAGGAACAGAGGAATAATGTACGATTTAATGTAACACTTTTAAAAATTAATATTAATATTTTGAAAAATAAAACGATAAGATTAAAAATTATTAAAAATGCGTAAATATTTTCAGGATGGACAAAAACACACAATCGCGGTACCACGCGGTATCACTCGAAATCGACGACGGAATCGAGTAGCGTTTCTGCATCAGAAATCAGGTTACCTAGCGATAAGAACTCTGGTTTGGAAGCAGCTTCCAACGTAGAAAAACATGAGACGCATTTCGCGAGAGAAGGCTCAACTAGATCACGATCAAAATTAAAGCAATCGCAGACATCTAATGGTTTCACTGCCACGTCACGGACGAGCTCGCGACATTTAAATACTAGTGTCGATAATTCGCGAAACCGTTCAAAACCGCATACCGTACAGACTCTTAAAGATGAAACACCGCGAGATGCATACAACGACAACAAAAGGAACACACCAGAATCACATAAGCCAAAACGACCGACAGCTTCTCGAAGAACATCTTCGGACGCGTCTCCCATCTGGGTGGACAACGCCAAGTTGGACCGCGAGGTGTTCGCGAAATCGCCCGACTATTCGAGATCGAAAACGGGAAGAAAGATTTATAACAATCACGGAAAAGAATTAAAGGATCAAGTAACTCCGTCCGAAAAGTCTCCAGATGAAAATGTAAAGAAAATCGAAAGTCCGAACGAAAGCGAATCGGAAAAGGAGAAAGCACAATTAGAAGAGTCTTCGAGAGTCCGAGAGATCGCTACCTCAAAAATGTCAAAGAAGATAGATACGAAGAGCACGAACACTTCTAGCAATCTCAAAGAGGAGACAAAAGAACGGGATGTCCTGCTGTCGGGTTCCGAGAGTGTAAGAGTGGACGTTCCTCTAACAGTTGGAAATGATGAAGATACCAATCTACTGACGTCCGTCAACGTGCCTGCAGGACAGAGCTCGAGGCCGGTGAAGGAGAAGGACAGCAACGATATCGCGAGATCGAGCGCGAAGAAAAACAGGCACTCGGATCGATCCAGATCGAAGTCTCGTAACAGATCGAAAACGAGCGATCCTAATTTGGAGATTTCCTCTCGCCGAGGTTCATCCAAATTCGGCGGTACCGCGCAGGCGGAGACGAGCGAACGATCCTCCAATTCCAGACAAAGATCTAAAAATGCCAATTCGAGAGGTCGTTCCGCGCACAAATCGAGAGACTCGACTACGGCGGAAGCGAGAAGCGGTAGAAGCAGAAACGCGGATGCCGATTCCGAGAGGAAAGCGAACAGACGGACGGAAACGCGACGTAATGACAGACGAACGTCCGAGGGAAAGCAACGGTCTAAGGATAGCAGATTGAAAGCTGCGGAAACCAAGGTAGACGAACAAGATATTCGGGCACTATCCAGAAGTCGGTCACGCACGACTGTCAGCAACCTCGGTAATTTACTTAATTTAAATATTTATAATCATTGAATCAAATTCTATATAGAGAGAGAAAGACATCGTTAATTAATATTATTAATAAATTGACAATATGTCTCAAGGAGACAAAATTTAAATTTACGATTTGTCTCAAGGAAATTTACTCTCATTAAAAATCTCTGTAATTGCTTATTAACTGATTACTTAATAATAAAGTCTCCAAAAAGACATCTAAAATAAATATTATGTTAAAGTTTTCTTACTTAGGTTCAAAATTAATAAGTAAATTAATAAGAAATAGTTCACAGTATTAAAATTGTAATGATAATTATGTTTCTTTCAGACGCTACGACCGCTTACATCCCGAAAGCGACAATCGCTGAAATTACGACTGTTCCTACTTTAGGTACAGAGATTACGACATTGAATTCCGCAACGACCAGACCATCGACGACAACCGCACGAACATCTTCCACAACCGAGCGGGCTTCACGTGGCAAGGGAAGAGACAGAGGAGAAAGTTCTCGATCGAAGAAACCCCCGAAAGAAGATTTCTTTAATCACGGATTAGGTTTTCGCGGACGAAAAAGTACGACCGAAGGATCCTCTTCTGCAGATTTGAGGACCACTACATCTAGAAGCGAAACGCAATTACGCGGTAATCCCGGATGGACTCTCAGACGCCGGCCTAGTCACGTCAATCAGGATACGTCTTCGACTACATCCGCGCCAGTTAATCGAGATCAGATCAACGAGATCGTATTGCCCAATGATCCACCGAAAACCACCGAAACACCATTAAGTAACGCAAAAGCCGGTAGAAGAGGCACTAAAAGGCCGAAAGCGAAAGATGAAGGCAACACCGTATCGGGCTTCACGGCGAAGAGCGTAACGCGCGGCAACAAAACCTTCAATAAATCCGAAAGTCCTGATCTACCCAAGAGAGTAGAGGCAGAAAGCGACAATTATCCACCTGCATTCCGAGCTAGACTGTCTCAATTGGTGAGTTTGCAAACAAGTATTCTTACTTTACAAATTTTGATAAATTTTTTTTCTAATGCGTCTACTGTATTCTCTTTAAAAATTGATAGAAATCTAAAAAGCTTAGATTTTCAATCTTCAGACTTGAAGAGAAAGAAAAATAAAAATGGTAAACTGATATATGATTTATTTGTTAAATTATTACTTATTATTATCTAATTACTGTAAAGTTTTTTTACAATGCTTATTTATATCTATCTCAAACTATTACAATGCGATATAAATATATTAAACACGTGTTTCATAATTTTGTTTCATAGCGTATAGTACTTTGTATTTTTATTACGAAATCTTTATATAATGTTTATTATTATTAATAGCATTGCTGAGGAAATTAATAATAAAAAAAACAAGCATGTTCAGTCAAAGAATATTTTCAGAAAAATTCTAACTTGAAACCTACTGGAGGAAAGAATACGACTAGAAACAACTTGCAGGTAAGATAGCACGCAAATCTCCCGACTTATTTGCTAAATCAACTAATTATTACTTTTAACATATTAACAGTTTATAACAGTAATATGCATCCCATTCTTTTTCAACTTGAGCCATTTGCAGGCCGTTGAGTTTGCGCGGATATTGAAAATATCGCATCTGTAGCACGGAACAGTAGCTAGTCTTTAAATTCTTATTAAATTAGCATGTGTATCTATCATTGATTAAAGTGCGTAAGGGTAATGTGATACGGTAAAAGTAAGATTAATTGATATGGTGGTGATTTCCCCAGACAGTGTACAATACTTATACATATGTAATTGTATAAAGCTTAAAAAAAAAATGCCCCACGTAGGAACATCCGAAGGAACGTACATTCCAACGACATATACGATCCAGCACGAAAACGATGCATGTATCCGAAAAAAACAAAACTGTGGAAAATACGTTTGCAAGAGACTTGCACGTCGTCCCTCTCACGAACCCCCTAACTTCGGTACTCGACCCAGATACGCGGCAAGTAAGAGCATAACGGTTTAGTCAGTAGCAGTTTAGTCAGAAATTTTAATTGGCAGATTGGGATTATTGCGTACTAATCGGCTGAGAGATTGCTTTATCGCGTTTCCATGCGTTTCCCCATCCACGCTTCGGATATTCCCGAAGCTTCTCTTGAATTTTTCAGGTGTCCATCCATCGGGGAATTATAATAATATCCACGGGGAAGATATCAATCTTGATCAAATTTCTTCAATATTATCATGTTTACTTCCAGTTTCTTTGAATGAAAAAAAAAAAAAATTGTAAAAGGAAAGGTGTTAGATGTTGATTTCATTTTTTATCGGGGACTGCATTGCAAAAAGAGATCGTTTCTCACGATCGTGGAACGCGACCGCTTTTCGAGATCACTGCGTTTTGCGTTCTTATGAAAAATCTCGGAGAGACGGAGGATTTACAAAATTTAGGAGATTTACGAAAATTAGGAATGGTATCGGCTATTGTAAACGCGAACTCAAAGTGCGTCATCAAGAACCAATCAGAACTGGACGATGACGCATTATTAACGCCTTCATGACTAGTACTACCAGGTGAAGCTTACTCGGTAACCGGTGATGGTAAAAGCGTGATCAAAACAACAATTTTACAATTTTGAAGAACTCTTTAAAGATTTCGTTGGAAAGCTTTGGATATGCATTTGCGGAAGCTTCAGCGAAATGGTTGCGACAGTGAACATCCAAATGAGACTGGATCAAACGCTATCGTGATGGCAAGGAATGGCGAATCCTCGACAAGAAGTTTTCTTAAGATTGCGAGAAAAAAAATTCCGAAGTAGAATTTTTAAATTTTTCATTAAAATCTTTTACCGATCTTCTCGATCGCGATTTTAGTTTTACTTTCAAGCATCTTTAACGAAATGAGAGATGATTAGACGCCTGTTAACGCGCGCAATGAATGAATAGATTTCGAAATTTTGCAAACTGGTTTTGATATAATCAACTTGTCTCTTTCTACTTACTTGTCAGTTAGTTCAGGAGAGAAAGTAGTACACTTGTAGGTAGGTCATTGAAGCGAATCAAGTAATGGCCACGTTGTTATTCAAACGGATAATTGAACTTGATTTGATGCGCTTTTCGGTATGCCGTGGAAGTTTATTATTGGGTATTTGCTAACTATTAAATAGACCTGTTATCTCCAGTTATATTTTTCGCAAAGTAAAAAAGTATAATTTATAGCAATATCAATAATCGTAATGCTTTAGCAACATAAATGAAATTGTAAATATACTACACAAAAAATTTTTTAATTTTTTAATCTGGTACTCTTGTTACGGCTTGTTATAAAAACATTTTGTTTTGTCGTCTAGTGGATATCATGAAGGAGACTGACATACTCATAGTGAAAAAAAAAGGAATAGAAAGGGAATGTAATGCTTGCATTCTGTGGACTGTGTATCGACTATATTTATCAGAAGCGGGTAATCATGTAGAAAATGACATAATTACACTACAATAGCTTATTTGGAAGATAAATTCAATTAAAGATAAGTGAATGAGTTTACTTTCTCGTTGAAAAATATCGGTTATTTGCTGTAATAAGGAAAATTCTAAGTTTACAGAAATAAAAATGAATTTCTCTTAAATTATACGACTAATAAATAAATAATAAATTAATATTTCATATAAATATTATTTGTAAATATTGTATATATATATAAAAGTCTGTAAACAAAGATATGCTATGATAGTGACTCATATTTTTTAAAAATTTTATATATATATATATTGCAAATATGCCTTATAAAAACAATTGATCACAAAAATATTTAATAATTCCCTAACTTTACACACGCACTTAACGTATATTTTTTATATTTTTTTCAACTATTTTGTGCTGCATAATTTCGTACACGGGTTGCTTATCATGGTGCATTACTTTGTATTGCGGGGGTGTAAAATATGTTTATTTAGATCGTAGTCTGACAAAAAC